TCCCTTCCCTTTTCCCTTCCCTTCCCACTGAGGACACAAATGTATCAAGTGGAGACCCTTGCCATGTGTATCTATTTCCTCTTATTAATGTCGAGGGGCAAGAGAGGGTGCAGGAAGTGCAGGAAGCCTCTCCTGTCCCGAGGGTGCTGTACCAGGATACACAGGCTCCCCTCAGCCTCCCTTCACATCCCTCATGGCTGGAGGGTGGCACCTGGGTGTGCCCAGGCTGGCACAGCCTCCCAGGGATGTTGTGTTATCAGACACTGCCTCACTGCACTGAAGGTCAGGGATGGAAGTCCTGTCTTAGTTATTTTTCAAGCTCTGAGACTTCAAGGGTGAAGGCCATGAGCAGTTTTCCATTCTCGCTCTGACTGAATTGCCATTGCACCTGGACTCTGGGAAAGTTTCTTCCCCTTCATGGTATTTTCACTGTACCCATCACCTTAAGATCTTGTGATGCTCCCACAGTTTTTCAGTAAGTCAGGAATGGTTGCTGTTCTTCACTGCTCATACTTCAGGAATCAATATCTTGTGTTAGAAACTAAAATTACCAGGGAATCCTTAGCACTTTGCAGCCTGTGTGTGCACTTGAATTGTGTAGGGTAGTGCTATAAGAATATGAAGATGTTGAACAGCTATGAAAACCTGCAGCTAATAGAGTTTAAAAATAACCCTTTTAAACAAGGTTGACAGGTTAATTTGCTGCAGTAGACATATCTCTCTTCTCTGCTTCCTTATGTTTCCCCTGCTAGTGATCTTCATTCATCTTCCCATTATCAAAAAAGACAAGATTATAGACCTAGAGAGTTATATGTCCTTTTTTTTTTATTTTATTGAAAAGGTATTTTCTTGAAATGAAATTATTATTCCCATGCTATCTGTGTCCTTTGAATCTTCCTTGATTTGATATTCAGAGAGAGGTCAAACCAGTATATTTATAACTCACAGTAAATGCCATTTTCATGCAGCCATTTCTTTTACCTCATACTTTTCCACCTTGCATGTTAAAAAAACAGCAAGAATAAAGCCCAGAAGCACATGAAAGGATGTTGCACGAGTTTTTGAGGCTGTGCATGATGATATTTTCAGGAATAATTGAGAAGTGTGTCTGGTCAGTAAGGAGAGTTTGGGTGTCCCTGGATACACAGGAACTGTGTCCCCCTCCTGACATGACCACAAAGGTGAATCTCTTTCCAAAAGCTCACACAGGACAATTTCTCCTTCTCCCTATCACTGCCATGGTTGTGAAGGTGCCTTTTCTTCTGCACAAGCTGCAGGTGCTGCCTGAGCACAGAGCAGGGAATCAAAGGGCTGGTTTCCAGTTTGAATGCGGTGCCACAGGACTGCTGCCAGTAATGATCTGCCCAGTAATTGCTTGCAGAGGGCAGCAGCAGGCACTGAAGGAGCAGGCACAATGGGAAGCTTTAAAACACAACCTTCCTGACCTCAGGAAAAATTGCATGCAGCTGTGGATGCTGTTTGGCTGCCTGTGCCTCTGCTGCAAGACCTGGGTAACCTCTGCACACCTCAGGGATTCAGCAGGGCTGCACAGCAGTCAGGGCACAGAGCACATTTACACCCTCCTTACACTGCCCACTGCTCAGGAGAGGGTTTATGCTCCATAATTGGGCCTCTCTCCTTTAGGAAGGGCCTTACAGCCTGATCTAAGGGCAGTGCAGACATTTACATTGATTTTTGTGGGCAGCACGCTCAGGTGTTACACATTTTCTGGAAATGCATTAGGAAGGATTGGCATCCAGGGGCTGCTCTCCTGAGCAGCAGCTGGGGAGAAAAGAAATCTGACCATTTCCCTGCTACTATTTTAAGGTGAACCAACACTTTCAGAAATCTTTTAACACATCCAAGGTATTGCTGTTCCTCTTCAGACAGGGGATTTGTTCGTTATTTAGAGCAGCACCATTCATATGGCTGCAATTTAAGCTTCAGCCAGCTTTTGCTATTCTGAGTAATGCCTGTCAGGGTTTATAACCTGGTTGTTAAAAAAGAATAAAAAGAGTTCACAGCATAAAAATCTGGCACACAGGCTTCAAGTGAGGCGTTTGTGTTTTCTGAACTCCTTTTAACTATTAAAGCACTTCAGTGTTACTTCCTTAAAAGACTTGACCTTGACTTGGCAATTTCAGTATTCTTGCAGGCCATTATCTCCAGACATAGATAATGCTTTGTTTCCCTTTTTCTTTCTTGTTTTCCTTCTTTTTTCTTTTTTTTTTTTTGTTCTCATGACTACACAGACATGTTTCTAGCACTTGAAAAACAGCTATGAGGCACGCACATTAATTTGATCATAACTTTTTAATATGCATATTTATATCACTGTAATAGTCTGTGCTTGGGGCTGGCACAGTATTAAATACTGATTTATAAAGCGTGGCCTGCTCCATAACTACTGGTAAGATCTCCTGGTTCCTTGTTACCCATTTATAAATCCTTTCAGCTGCCCTGCACAATTAATCAGCAATCTGCATTTAGGGAGTTCTGGCAGCACAGGTAATTGGGAGTTTGGTTTTCTTCCTTCATTCTATAAAACTACTGAAGTGGGCACCCCTGAAATGGGGATGTGGCACGAAGAAGAGCACATCCTTCATCCACTTATCACTCACAGTGCAGCTGCCTCAGCAAATTCCCCTCACAAGAGGGAGGCTGCTGACTCGAACACATGTAAATAAAGGCATGCAGTACTTTGAGTGGAGTGGGTGCTGTCAAAGTGGGATTCAACCACTTCCTGCTCTGCAGTCTGGGTCCTTTCAGCCCCTCTTCAGGCTGAGGGGCACTGGAGGGTGCTTTGCATCCAGCATTTCTTGGTGGCAGCTTTCCCTGGGAAATGAGTGGTTCTGGTGTCCATGTCTGTCCCCTGCCCAGCTGGGACCAGGGCCAAGCTGACATTCCCATTTATTGTTGTGGGACAGACCTGTCCTTACAGCTCAACAAGTGTCTGAGGCCTCTTCAGAGAGTTTTATGTTTGTTGTTGTATGTCTGTGCTGAACATCCTGGAGGGGTGGCTGTGAGCATATGTGAAAACACTGGTGAAATTAGCAGGAAATATGCAGGAGCCTGAGCTTTTCCCTCTTTGCCTTAGATCTCCCTTCCAGGAAAACAGCTGTACACCTGTGCTTGGGGTCCCAAAATCCAATATTCTTATTAAAACATCAGTATGAATGAGCTGCTCTACCCACATCATTCTGGAAGTGCCTTTTGCTTTTGCCTTTTCAGACAGTCTCTTCCAAGTCCTGTTTTCCATTTCAGAAACAGATGCAGTCTGACCCACACAAGCTGGACTTTGGCCTGAAACCAGAATTTCTGAGCAGGCCACCAGGCCCCAGCCTTTTTGGAGCCATCCACCACCCCCATGACCTGGCTCGGCCATCAACTCTCTTCTCCACAGCCAGTGAGTACTGAAAGTGAAATCCCCTTCTTGCTCCTTGCTCATTAAAATGCTGATCCTTGCCATGAATTTCCCATATGCTTATGAACACTCTGCAAGACATGCCAGGGGCTATTAGTCTATTTGATAAATATTTAAAAATTATTCTGTATGCTTTTATAAAAAGCCCAACCTGCTGGAACACTGCTAGGTAGTAAATGAAGGAACATTTCCTCACAGAGTGATGTCTGGTGCATTGTGGAGATCAGATGTTGGAACTAAGGTGTATTTCACATGCATTTCCTTTTTGTTTCTGACCTGAAACATTCATTCCCCTGCACCCCTTATCCTCTAACTGGGTATTTCTGTTATAAAAGCAGCTGCTCTTTGCATAGGACCCTGTGAGCCCCATGCAGGGCACAGCAATGTCAGCTCACATGAGCTGTTAAAGAAGGGACAGCCCAGAGCACAACGAGTCCCTCTCTGAGCCTCTGCTGGGAATTGACCCCTTTTGCTTTGTTTTGGCAGGTGGGGGGCACCCAGCTGGAACCCCTTTTGGCCCACCACCCCACCACAGCAACTTCCTGAACCCAGCTGCTCACCTAGGTACGTCCTCTCTCAGCTCACACAGTGACCACTGAGAAATGAAACCTCTTGTGGGGAGACACTGAACATTCTGCTCACTAACCTGTACAAATGGCACATTTTAGCTGTTTAGTTTTAGTCTTCACCAGGTAGAAGTTCTAAATACACAGAAAGTGTCACTGACTGTGTTTTGAAATACTTCTGAACACTAGAAGAGCAGAGTGACAGGGCTGGCTGGGTTTTGTTTGAGTTATGCTTAGAACCAGTCCAAAAAATGCCTTAAGGGCAAGGCTTCAGATCACAGAGATGTTTCTTTTCCTAACTCCTACTTAGATATCTGTTTTTCCATTAAAGTGAATAGGAAACATAGCTTTAAAATTTTGTGATCTGGCTTCATGTGTCAGTTAGTGAAAATTGGTGAATACCTACTTAAACCAGAACTGCCTAAGTTACCAGATGTTGTTATTTCCTTTCTAGCTTACTGCTTTTATAATAAGGTGATTTGTTCCTTATGGGAGCATACAAGACCAAGATTTTACATTGGCATTTGATTTTGCATGTGGGAGGGTCACCAGACTGTTACAGCAAACAGACAATGCAGGTTTATTATTCTGCTCTTTGCTGCCCATGGAAAATGCTGGCTTTGGGCTTCTTTTTCTCTGTGCTGATATTTACCAGAAGTGACTTCATCAAAATTGTTAGACTGCTCCAAAATAAAGTGAGAATTTGCTTTATATGATTTTCCTGTTTCCTCTTTGTATTAACTAAAAAATTGTTCCAGCATTTTTCAGTCCACACTAGTTTTTTCTGTAGTATGAGCAATAAACACCAAGGGAATCACAGAATGCTCAGGCCAGCATGACCTATCAGTGGAACAGGACATTTTATTTATACCCTGGCTCTGGTTTAGGACACATGGCCTGAAGGTGTTTGGAGCACACTTGCCAGAGTTAATGGTAGCCTGACTAGCAAGGGACATTTCCTGAGGAAGGAAATAAAAGGAAGTAAAACCAGAGATGTTTGCAGATTTCAACTGAAACATCATTGTGACAGTGTTCACAGGGGTCTGAGGATGAGGGAAGAGACGAGGATCTGACTCTTATGTTTTACAAGGCTTGATTTATTATTTTATGATATATATTATATTGAAACTATACTAAAAGAATAAAGGATTTCATCAGAAGGCCAGTTAAGAATAGAACAGCAAAGAATGATAACAAAGGTTTGTGGCTCAGACTCTCTGTCCGAGCCAGCTGACTTTGATTGGCCATTAATTACAAACAACCACATGAGACCAATCACAGATGCACCTGTTGCATTCCACAGCAGCAGATAATCAATGTTTACATTTTGTTCCTGAGGCCTCCCAGCTTCTAAGGAGGAAAAAATCGTAAGGAAATTATTTTTCATAAAAGATGTCCGTCACATATCATGTCCATTTTAACATTGACTTTCTTTAAGAGGAATTTGGCCAGGGGTATGGCCAACAACAAAGCCAGTGTTTTGTGTCCCAGCCCATCAGAACCCTGCTGTGTGAGGGCACAGCTGGGGTGCTGGGTGGGAGCTGCAGCCCCAGGGGTTTCAGCTCTTTGTGTTGCTTTGCAGAGCCCTTCAACCGGCCGGCATCGTTCAGCGGCCTCACCGCCGTGGGCAGCAACGCCTTCGGGGGGCTCGGGAACCCCACAGTCAGTGAGTACCTGGGCCATGGCCCTGCTGCTCTGCAGCCTGCCAGGGCCACCTGGCTCTCTTTAGTACTGGTTGGTTACATCACCTACCACTAAAAGATGGGAATTTGGAAAGCAGCCTTTTCCAGTTGGCAGTAAATTGGTTTTTGTTAATTACTTAATAGTTTGGGTTCAAACTAGTGCTAAATGTTACCATTACATTGTTCATTAAAAAGAAAAAAATAGAGCCTTTTAGTGTGAAAATTTCCACAGTTTTGTTGCATGTTCAGATGTAAATAATGCGTGCAGCTAGGGAGCTGTGGATGGAGACTTTTTTTCCTTTCTCACCAGTAATTCAGGCCATGTGCCTGGAAAAGATCACTAACCTGCATTTACTAGTCCAGGTTCATCAACATTTTTCTAAATTTAGCCAGTCACAGAAAATCATCCTTTTAAAAGTCACTCTCTTTCTTCATACTTCAAATCTGGCATGATTTTGGTCACATATTATTTTATTTTGGTTCAGGATCAAATGCAACAAGTTCCATTATTTATAATCCCTATAACGGTCATTTCCTGATGTCTCCAAAACATTTGGAATAAGGGTCATTGTCACTTTTATCTTACTCCTTCATCCCTTGTCAATTTTATCCACAGCATTTCCCTTTCCAATTAAAAGAGCTGTCAGATGCCTGCCCATTTTTAGGAATGAGACCCTCTAATGAATCTCTGTTAATTTCCTTTCCTTTTCCAGCTCCCAATAATATGTATTCATTTTAACTCTGAGTGCTGTAAAAGTTGTTTTGGTAAGTACCTTCACTAGAGCATACCTTTTTCTTAAACCTTTTTGTTTTCCACTTCACCATTTCAGCACCCAACTCAATGTTCGGCCACAAGGATGGCCCCAGTATGCAGAGCTTTAGCAACCCTCACGAGCCCTGGAACCGACTGCACCGAACTCCTCCTTCGTTCCCGACCCCTCCGCCCTGGCTGAAGCCAGGAGAGCTGGAGCGCAGTTCATCTGCTGCAGCTCATGACAGAGATAGAGATGTAGATAAACGAGACTCATCTGTTAGTAAAGATGACAAAGAAAGGTACGAAAGAACACTTCCAAGAATTTGTCTAGTTCAAAGCTTGGGGCTCCGTTCCGCTTTTAACCCTCCCCAGCCTGGCACGTTGTGAAGGCAGAGCTTCACCAGAGGCACGCCTGGAGCTGTCCCCAGGGTGGCACCACGCAAGAGGCAGGTTGGCAGCTCAGGTGTTCCCCTCTGCAGGGGTTCTCTTCCCACTTGCACCTCACACTTCACCTGAAGGAGCTTTGCTGGAGCCCAGTTCAGGCGGTGTCGAGTGGGAATAGAATCAGACCCACCCACTCTTACCCTGTGTGTCACATTGTCGTAGGTCTCTTGAAGGGTTAACATGGAGATAGTGCCTGACAGCATGGAGGAAAGGATTCTGAAGTCTATCAGATGCTTATCTGCACCTTCAAATACTTAAATCAGACCTTGTCTGCAAAACACTTCCTCCCTCCTCAATAAACCCTGCTCAATAAACAGCACCAGAGGGACCAGTGCTAAAGGTGTGAGATGAGAAGACTAAAATGCACCAGGAATGTCACGTGCCAAAACCATAGCAAGCTTCAGAGCATGCAGTTCATGCAAAGCACCTTCTTTCCCCTCAAAGAAGCCCCTACACTTGCACTGCTGTTAACACACTTTCCAACACCTTTCTATTCAGTGTTTTACATGGACTTGCATGCTCACATGTCCAGGCTGGGAAGGGTTAATGGAAAGTAAAACCTGGTCAATATTTATTTTTTGTCAGGACTGTTCCCATTATTCAGTTAACGCAGTAAAAATTCCTCTTAACATTGAAGTACCAAATTTATAAGAGTTTGCCATTCAGCAAGTGTCATGCCTTCCTTGAAAACTGTAGAGAGGCTGATTTCAGCTTTTTCAATTGTGGCTTGATGGCTTTCCTGTTAAGTTTGCACATTACTTTACTACATAATGGCTATTTGTTTCTAATATTTTAATCTAAAAGAATATTTAGGAGATGTGCTTTTCTGACTTCTCTGTCACTAACCCAAAGATATGCATTAGTAGCCTTTTCTAAAAGAAGTTATGCTAACACATTAGATATTCTAAAACTACATGGAAGAGCTTTTCTACATTGTTCTAAAAGAAAGGCGAACTACAGATCTTTTCACCTACATTTTCCATTTGGAATATTTTCTGTTTGGTAGCATAGCTTCATTATTTTCATGTCTGATGTTAATGCTTTAAAAGAAATTGCTGTTACAAATTGGGTTTTCTGTCCTGCAAAAGGCTTAAGCATGTGAGTAACTTTACTGGCTTGAATGGCAAAGCATTTTAGTTACTAAGATCTGGGTAGTCTGTAGAATTATGTGATTATTTTGGTTGCTGTTTTGTTGTTTTCTCATGAAGTGTTCTGCTGAAGAAAATCCCTTACTGAAAACATTCATTGCAAGCTGCTTTGGCATTGCCTGAACTCCATATCATAGCTCAGAACATATTTCTTTTCAAAAATTTGAGAGCTTAGCAGTAAGCATCATCCATCCCTCACACTTGTGCACAGTTCCAGCTTGCAGTGAGTGCAGTCCTGGTTTCACCCCTGCAGTGCTGCTGTGTGCCCAGCTCTGTGGGCTGGGACGTGGCACTTTGCAGCATGTTCACACTGTGGGCTGTGTAGGAGAGGCTGTGGATCCCTTCCCAGAGCTGTGCTCCCTGTGCAGAGAATGTCTGAGGAGTTGAGAGCCTCTCCTTCCTCCTCCTCACCGTCCCGTGGCACCCAGAGGGGTGAGCACAGAGCTTTCTAATTGAGGTCCCAAGCTCTGTTATCTATTTGAAATTAATTTGCCCAGGCAGGAAGAGCTGGGAATCACACCCAGAGGTTTGATTTCATCTCAAAATCACCTGGTCATCAAGGGTGTAACCTTACCAAGCCAGGAATGGCGCAGGCAGCCAAAAGCATTGAGCTCCATTGGAGCTCCCCAGCTAAGGTTGGTGTTGGTTGGGGTGGAGATCCCTGGTGGCTCCTCTTGGATCAGCTGCAAGTCCTGTGCAGGCAGACTGGGAGAGGTGAATCCTCAGGCAGCCCAGAGTGCAGAAGTGCAGCAGTGACCCTGTCCTGGCTGGGAGTGGCACTGCAGAGCCCTGATGGCTCCTGCAACGTTGCATGTCCCTTCCAGCTCAGGGTGTTCTGCAACTCTGCGATTGATTGCAGTGGTGGAGGGGTTTTCTTAAAGACTCTTTTATTCCAGCCCAACATTAGGGGAAAAAAAATTAAAAATAGGAAATGTGAAAAGCAGGATTTGTTCCTTCTCAGTGGTATTTTGTTTAAAAGATGTCACTGAACGCTTCCAGTATAATCATAATGGCATTTAAGGGTCTGCAATGCTAGAGCATTAAACCAAACCAACCAAGAATCTGTTGATCTTTCAATCAATATAAATGAGGCACACACCTCAGCATAAGAAATTCAGTATTTTTCAGTGTAGCACACGGCCTCAGAACTTCTCTTACTTAGTAATAAGTTCATTGGATAATGTGATTTTAACTTTCTTCTTTGTGGAGGCAGTGGCTTAGAGCTGTTCTCATGTTATCAACCTCAGGAGCTCTTGACAAATGTGAGGATTAAAAAGTTATTCCTTCTCTGTCCACTGGACTATGTGCAGCTCACTTAAATGAGCTGGATAATCAGGAGCCTCTTGAGATGTTACCAACACTGTCATTGAATACAATGACATTGGCAAAGGAATTTGTCATTTTGGTTGCACATATATTTCTCCTTAATTACAGAAAACAGCTGTTATTTTTTCTAAATTTTATGTGTCATTTAAAGTACATCAATTATATGGAAAATTGATTAAATATCAACAAAAGGACTGAATGAGCTTTCCTAGGGAAATAAAACAATTAAGGGTACCCTCTAAACTAGTCCCATAAGCAAAATAAATAAAAGATTAGGTATTGCAGAGCCCACAAGCCAGTGATTTCCCACCAAAGTAAAGGAATTGAACCTTCACGTTGAGAATCCTTCACTGGAGGGCCTTGACTTGGTCTCCCTGTGTCCAGATGTGGAAGCTGTTAAATGCCTCAACTCTTGGTGGAAAGCAGGTGGAAGGAAATGAGAGCCAGGATGTGATTTCCAGACTGTTCAGGTCTCATTGAATGAAGGCAGCTCCTGATCCCAAACAGTGAAGTGCTGGGCAGTGCAGACCAGGCAGGGCTGGTATCAGCTGCTCTGCCTTCCAAGTGTTTTCCAAGAGTTACATTCTGAACTTTGGAGGTCTCAGACATGGCCCATGAAATGACAGTTTCAACAGTTCAGTCTAGACACAGCAGAAGATGCACCTGGTGACATTAGAATGAGAGTTTCCTTCTCCCAGGCATTTTTTCTGCATTTGCCGCAGTTTCACTGTCCAAAAGTACCTAGAGCTACAAATCTTACACAGCTCAGCAAAAGAAGTAGGGGGCAGAAATTGTATGGGTGAAGGAGCAAATGTTCACTGAGGAGTCACGCCCTGAGCTGCCCTTCAGCAGCCAGTACTGCTTATCCTGGCCAGAGTGTCACCTGCTGGTGACACCAGCACCCAGAGAGACACCGTGTCAGCTGGAGCTGAGGGCAGCCCTCACTGCTTACCCTTCCCACAGAGTCCCAGAATAGCTGGGGACAGAAGGGACCTCTGGAGATCATCCACTCCAACCCCTGCGGAGGCAGGGCCACCCAGAGCAGGTGACACAGGAATGTGCCAGGTGGGTTTGTCTTCAGAGACACCTCCCTGGGCATCCTGTTCCAGTGCTCTGCCACCTCAATGGAAAGTTCTTTCTTGTGTTGAGTTGGAACTTCCTGGGTTTTAGTTTCTGGCCATAAATAATTGTTGCCTTTAACAGCACACTGTCCCTCATCCCACATGGAACAGAATTTCCATGCTCAGCAAACAGCACGTGTCCAGCACTGAATATGTGGAGCTGTCTTTATGGAGAGATTCCAACTCAGAGGTCAATTGAAATTACTAAGAGGCTAAAATCATTGGAACTGAGGGATTAGATTCACCTTGTGAATTTGATCAGTTTTAAATGAGAGAGCTTTTTCACTTAGCATTGCCCATAACAACTCCTGGTCAACATTACTTCCTGAAAATAATTGGTATGGAACCCATTTCCATATTTAATAATATTATAAATATTATAATATTTAGATTTTTGTTCACTGCCAGACAATAATTCCCCAAACTGTTGTGCACCATAATTAGGTTTGAAAGATGGAATGAATTTACAGTATTTTCTGACTTTGTAGCATTGGCCCTGTCCTGCTCAGCTTGTTTTAACCTAGACATGGGAAGGGTTGGTCATCTGAGGAGCAGCTGACTCCAGGCATGCTGGAGTTTTCAGGCATGGTGTTTTCAGAGCCAGTGTGAAGGATGGACAGACAGAGCAGATTTATCTCTGCTGAGGAGGTCGACACAAACTGTGTGTGATGGGCAGCTCTGTTAAACCCTGCACTGAGGGTCACTGCACACTCAGGGAATTACCTTCTGTCAGAGGGCTGGGTTGGCACCATCAGCACTGGTGGTACTCAAAAGGATTTTGCCTCAGCTTGAAGTGAATGGAATTGCAAAAAGTAAATTGAAAAGCTAGACATTGGAAAAGAATAGAGGAGAGAAATTAGTAGTGTACATAGGTCCGGAAATGTTTTTAAAAGCCATTTGAAAAATAGGAATCTATTTTCCCAAATGTATTCTTAAAAGAAGAAGTAGGTAGAATACTATTAACCATGTAATTTGTATTTAATTCCCTCACTTTTTGGATGAAATGAGTATGTTTTTACTTTTCTCTCTTCTTTGCAAACATTTAAAGTCTTTGCAATATATGTCCTAGAGCTAGAAGCCCATGGGAGCCTTCTGTGGAGTTCAGTGTTTGAGATCTCAGTCAGATTCTTCACAGAGCAGCTTTGGAGATCTGCAGCTGCTGTGATAACAGTAGGCCAAGTTTAGAGATGGGATGTTCTTCTGGAGTTTTGGGTGTGCCAAAGGCACAGTGCCTTTACTGGTGCATTCACCAGCTCTCTGCAAAGCCACGAGTAGAAAGCCAGGCACTCTGATGCTTTGTTTTCTTTGCAGAGCTTCTCATGCCTTCATCTCACACTTCTCTTTCTTGTAGGGAGAGCATTGAGAAAAGACACTCCAGCCATCCTTCGCCAGCACCTATCCATCCAGTAAACTCCCTCGGACATAACCGCAGCTCAAGTGAGCAGATCAGGAGCCATCTGAATCCCGAGGGTCGAGAAAAAGAGAAACCCAAAGAACGAGAGAGGGATCACTCCGAATCTCGGAAGGAGATTAATGTTGAAGAGCACAAGGTGAAGGACAGCTACGTTTCAGAGAAAGAAGGCCTGAGCCATGAAAGCCGAGTGGTGGAAGAGTCTAAGCAAATGCCCAGGGTTCCTTCGCCCTATGCCAGGCCCCCCGTTGTGGAGAGCACCAGGCCCAACAGCACTTCCAACCGCGAGGCCGACAGGAAGAACGAGCCGGCGTACGATAACCCGAAGAAAAGCAACGAAGTCAAGGTGAAGGAAGAGCGAAAGGAAGACCATGATGTTCAGCCTGAGGGACCTCAGACTCATAGGTCATCTGATCAGCCGCCACCTATATCCACATCCAACGTCCACCCAAGTCCTTTAGTGTCTATGCCCATGACTGTAGGTGTGACTGGTATACATCACATGAACAGCATCAGTGGCCTGGACAGGACTCGCATGATGACCCCTTTTATGGGAATTAGCCCAATTCCTGGTGGAGAACGTTTCCCCTATCCTTCTTTCCACTGGGATCCAATGAGAGATCCCTTGAGAGATCCCTACAGAGAGCTGGATATTCATCGGAGAGACCCCCTGGGCAGAGACTTTTTGCTAAGAAATGACCCCCTCCATCGCCTCTCTACGCCAAGGTTGTACGAAGCAGACAGGTCATTCAGGGATCGGGAACCTCACGACTACAACCACCACCACCACCACCACCACCCTCTGTCCGTGGACCCGCGCCGGGAGCACGAGCGGGGCGCGCACCTGGACGAGCGGGAGCGGCTGCACATGCTCCGCGAGGACTACGAGCACGCGCGCCTGCACTCGGTGCACCCCGCCGCCCTGGACGGGCACCTGCCCCACCCCGGCCTGCTCACGCCAGGCCTGCCCAGCATGCACTACCCCCGCGTCAGCCCCCCCACGGGACACCAGAACGGCCTCCTCAATAAAACTCCCCCCACAGCAGCTCTCAGTGCCCCGCCGCCTCTCATCTCCACGCTGGGCCCGCGGCCCGGCTCTCCCAGAAGGACTACTCCTCTGTCCACAGAGATGAGAGAGAGGCCTCCCTCTCACACCCTCAAGGACATCGAAGCTCGATAAGCAGAGCGAGACTCAGTGAAAACCAGAGCGAGAGGGACAAAAACCTTGTAAATGAACATAATATAAAGACCTTCTTACTAGTCATTGATACAGACTGGGGATGTGACCCACTGTACAATATGTATAGACCTGAGTGCAAAGATTTTGAAATGATTTTTTTTGTATATTATATGTTGAAATTTTCCAGATCTTTTAGCCAATGTTCCATATGTTCCTCGTGTCTCCTACTCTATTTTATTTCTAGCTTAAAAATTTCAAAATTTGAACTGAAGAACAAGACGTCAGTCTGAGTGATTTGACTAGAAACAAGCCACCACCAATGTCAACCCTACAAAGCTCTTTCAAACCAGAAGTGAAGTCAATTGTAGATATTTATGTAAAAAGATTGCTTCATGGATTAATGGTTCATATATGCAAAAAGGGTAAGATGAAAGCTTTACTTTGTACAAATGTAAATAGATAAAATTAAGTAACATAATACATTAATACTTCTTAAACTGTGCTATTTGCAAACTTAATATTGATCAACACAGTCTGCTTATGCTGTGTTACTTATATTGTTATAGACAGCTAAACCCCTTCAACTATGCAATGAATTTTAAGGCTTTTCACAAAAGCCTTTATAACTCAAAGGAGCCTTTTCAACACACAACATAATTAAAGTCATATTTTCCCTGAACAAGCTCATTTCTAATGGAAGCCTACTTCTCTTGTTTTGATGAAGAAACAGCCCTTCAGAGGTGTAGTTTTCTGTGTGAACCCTTGCATCAGGCTGCTGAGGTCACTGTAACTCGTGTGTCCCTTGGATGGTGTCAGGATTAGTGCTCTGTGATCGCTGACATGGAGTCATGGCAGATTGGGTTTCAGTCATATTAATCCGGGTTAAATGGTAATAATGGAATGCTGGAGATTTTCCAGAACTTTTGTCACTTAACATGTCAAATTTATTTTGGGGAGAACATCTGCTTATAGCCATTCATGTCTGGTTTTATTGCCAGTGTGTCATTTTTATCTGTACACACATTTTTTTTTGTGTTAAGTGATTTTTAACTACATTGAAACAAATCCTACAAGAAAGTGAATACTTTTCTAAATGATGGATATGTTTTCACTGTGGATCAGTAGTTTAATTAATGAACTCCATTGCAGATTTCATAATGGAATTTATTGTATTTCAGTTGGTAATAAAGTCTGTGAATAGCTAACAGGTCAGCCTTGTTGTTCCCTAATCATAGAAGACATGAAATAACCTGAAGAACACGGTCCTTTTTAAAAATATGCATCAATCTTCTGAAATCTGTCTTTTCATAACACACTTTTTTATAATGTGTTAAGTTTCTTGTCTAAATATTTGGAGAGAATATGACTTTATCAGAGAGAATTCAATATCTTGTCTACTGGACTGTAAAATATATGTATGAAATAAAATTAGTTCCATTGGTCTTCTAGTGTATTAAAGTGCTATCTGAAGTTGTTACCCTGTTTTGGCAAAAAAAAAGAAAAAAAAGAAAAAAGTTAACTACAAACAGTTGTTTCTAATGATCAGAGATCTATTTTAGTAGTCAACTGAAGGTTTAGTTGTGAGCTTCAGATTTTTGTGAACTCCAGATGTTGTGCAGTGTTTCTTTTTTTTCCTTTTTTTTTTTTTTTCTACAAACAAAAGGAAAAATACAAAAAAGTCCCAACCCTGAGGAATATGTACACTGGAACCGTAGTGGTAGCTTTCAGTATTGTAAAGAGATTGTTATATACAAACCTTTTTGCTGTTTATCCTGTATGTAATAAAGTCCTTTCTAGATCCTATGTGAACAGAAAAGTGAAGCGGCTCTCAATCTTCAGCATGTTTCCTCCTCAGCGAAGACTTGTGTAATGTAAATTGTGCCATGTTATTAAAAAATGTGAACTAAACTGCTAGGTGCTTCTTTGTGTGCAGTGCCCCATCGTTGCTATGGGGAGGAAGTCCTTTTTCCCAACAGTGGGGTTTTGTTCAGGAGTAGCTGTTAAAATTGGAAAGGAAATGGCAAACTTTCCTCAGCCATCTTACTGGAATCCTTAGAGTTGTCAGGGAAGAAGAAACAGAAAGGAGACCAGATCCTTGGCTTGTCCAGGTTCTTTAAAAATATAGTAAAACTCTACTTGGATTAGATTTTAATTAGATCATAATCTTGGTCTGCTGGATGCACATCATTAAAAAGCTGAGTTACTGAAGAAGGCGGGACTGGATGGCCACAGGAGGATGTAACTGTGGAGCCAGCGAGGGAGGCCCCCCGAGGCAGGGTCTGATTGAGAGCAGCATCTTCCAGGCTCATCTCATCCTTGCAGAGGAGCCTGACAGCTCTGGCAGCGTCTTCAGGAGGGAAGAAACGTGGTCTTGATTGTCCAGGCTCTCATCCTTGTCCTCCCAGGTGCTGAGCAAACTCTTATTGATGGTCCTTAATTCCCAATTAAGCCAATGAGCCCTCGCTCCTAGAGTCCAGAAAGCATCGAGGCCTTTCAGTCCCTTTGAATTCAATTTCAGTGCTCCGTGCCTTGGAAGATCCACGTGTCAAGCCTTCTTGTACTGGTGATGCTCAGAGGAGTATGCCTGAAAGGTGTAGTAAGAGATGAAACAAGATTTTTAATGCCTTTAAACGTCTTCAGATGCATTCACTGCTTTCCAGAAGTTTGATATAGGGATGTTAGCTTGCAGCTATAGACAATTTGATCTTTTTTGAAGGATTTTCCATTCAGGACATTTGTCTTAAATCTTCTACTTTTCAATTCACTTGTGTTTAAGAAATGAATTTCATTTAAAAACCATGCCAGCTACCATCTGTGGGAATGAAATGAATCATGAGGGTATTAATTCTGTAAGTTGTGTGAGATTTTGATCATAGAAAACCCTCAGTGTGCTTTATAGCAACCAGGGCTTTGCTTTATGTTTTCAAGTCCCATCTTCCCAAATTCCAACTAATTTTCCACAGAGCAGCTTCCTATCACTAGCTTAGATGCCAAATACAATGTTTAGGAAGGGAATCTTTGAAAACAGTCCTAACATTTGTTTCCCGATATGTTGTTCATTTTATGCCATGCTTGGTCTCTTTTTAAAATTCCTATGTTTGGATCTTTGGTTTTGCTTGCTAAGACTTAGCTCCAGCCTGGTTTTCTGCTTTTCATACCTTACTGCTCCCCTCTTTGCCAGTCCTGTCCTCTTTCATGACCTAGGGCAGCTAAATCTTATCAGAGGAAGCAATAAACACTGCAGATTTTTTTACAAAAGTAATTTTGTTGTTCCTTTTTACCTTTGCCTGTATAAGCTCATGAAGACTGTAGTCCTTGCTGGACTGGAAGATAAGCAGATGGAGGTTGAGGACGATTTTTCTGCAAGTATTTTCATTTGTAGTGGCTGTGCCTCGTTGAGGAAATGTTTAGCACGGTTCTTGCAGATTTGAATTCTCATTACAGCTTCACACGTGCAGGTGACTCTGCTGAAAGGCTCTGGACAGGGACCAAGGTCACAGAGCAGTGGTGCTGCACTTCCAGAGGAGCTCCTTGGCTCACTGCTTGGTTTCTGGCAAGGAGGAAGAGTGAGCAGTGGTTCGGAGACCAAGGACTCCAGTTACACAGGGTTTTGTTACTGCCATGGTGGCTTGGTTAAGTCCCACCTGGATAAACCAACTTCCTTCTTTGGACTCCACCTGCCAGCTTTGGAGTGGCAGTGCTTGAATTCAGAAGGTGATTTGGAGCACGATTTCAGTTAAATGGTCAGAATTTCCTTTGACTGCCTGAGCTCTGGATGGAGGCTGGCCTCTAACTCAGCTGGCTGGGAATTGCTTTGCAAACGAGTGGTGGGGCTGCCTCCTGCCCTGCTGATGTCCTGGTCCCATCAGATCCTTCCTGCACATGTAAAAACTCAATCCTGGCCATTCCTTACATGAAGCTCTTTGGGGCACAGCCTGTCTCTTACTTTGACTGCACCATGATTGGTGCCCTTGGTTGGGGCAACTGAGCATAGTCCAGTGCAGCTATAATGCAAAAATTCTTTTAGTCATACTAAAACTGAAGCTTCAGTGAATTAGCCATGGAAACCTGTATAAAAAACTCCACATTTTTGCTAGCCAAGGAGAACCAGAGCTGCAGGTGAGGACTGACTGTTCTCCCTGTGCCCTGTCTCCAGCTGGAGGGGCTTGGACTGTTTGTGCCTGTGGGCAAGGTGGAAGTTCCCAGCTGGCATCTCTTGGGGTCATACCCCTTCCTTTTACCACTGGTATCTTGCAGCTGAAATCATGTTAGCACAAAGATACTTCCTGGTCATAAAATAGCTCCCCCCCCTCATTTGTGCACTGTGAGGCTGCATAAAAATAGATCCCCTCCTCATTTGTGCACTGTGAGGCTGCATACAGCAACAGGTATTTATGGACATCTGAATGCACAAGTGCTGTCAGGTACAGTACCAGGGAAGAAGCTCAATCCAGCAAGGAGTAGAGTACAAAATCCTGGTGGCACCCCACAATCTCACACGTCTGTTTTGCTGCTATCTGATGTTTCCTTTGCTGGTTCTGGTAATACATCAGTACAGCATTATCCCCATTTTATAAACAGAAGAAGTGCTGCTGGGAACCCCAAACACAGAGTCAGCAGTGTGATACCAGGCACTACTGCCTGAGTGACCTCAGGAGTCACCCAGGGCAACTGAGTTACTGCCTGAGCCACTGGGGAACAGAGAAAAGCCCAAATCAGGCAAATTGCAGAGTCAAGGGTGGCAGGAGATGAGGAATTCCTGAGTTCCTCCTTTGTTGTAGAAAGTACTTTTAACCTTCCATATTAACTAATTGTGGCATCTCAGACTGCTAAACTTACCTGTGAAGGAATGGGTTTTACCTGTTTATTGATAAGTAGTTCAAGTATTGACCCAAGCTGATAAGGGCTGTGGTCATTCTGTTACTAAAGGCAGATTTGCTGCATTTTAGCACCTAATGTGGCTTTTGATCATCGTATTGCCCAATACTGAAACTCACTCTGAGTGCAGCATTTTTCTTCGTTGAATTTATGTTTCTCTACTGAAAAACTTGAATTTAGCCCTAGGAACTGAGCCATCCACCCCCAGTACAATCATCTTTGTTTCAAGACAAGATAATTAAGCAAGAATTGAATCAATTCATTGCATAAAGATGTCACCTATCAAATACACAATATGTTTATTAAATGTATCTTTTGCTTTGCATCTTCAAAGCCCTTTAATAGTTTCCATTGAATCAGTGTCATTGTGTGGGTTGGTTTTATGCAGCAGAAATTCCATTAGCATCAAAAGCTTGGGATTTTTTTTTATTTTTTCTTTTACAGACAACTAAAAATGCAAGCATAAACTTCTAAGGATTTTCAGTAGTGCCTTTTTTGGGGCCTCAGTGTATTTGGGGTCACCATGGTGTGTTTGGGGTTAATTTGATTTTAAAAAAGAGGGAGAGGTATCAAACAATGCCCAGTTATTGCCAGCCAAAAGGAAAGTTTTGTCTCCATTAATCCTATAACAGCAGAGCAGAACTGGATTTGGTTTAGCCTGTTAGATAAAGATGTTGTTCTGCAGTGGTACCGCAAGAGGGTGGTTAGAGAGCCTGAAACACGTGTAGGCTGCGCTGCAAGAGGGGATGGCTCTGCTGTTCTGGGCAAGGTGAATGTAGCTGTAAATTGTTTTTATGAGAGTCTGCTCTGTGAGGAGCTCTCCTGTTCCCCTGCTTGAGTGACAGAAATCCCAGCGGTGCAGTGGCAGACGCTGCTCAGGCTAACTGAGGAGTGACCTTACTTTGTCACATTTAATACAAGGGACTAGAAGTGCTCCGTACCCAGAGCATTCCGCTCGATAGAGGCAATTGTGTTTTGGAGAGTTAGGTTTAAATTGCATGCTGCTACAGACCAGCAACAAAGCACATTGTGCTTGTGTTAAGGGAATAAAAGATGCTTCTCTAGTATGAATAGTTGACGCAGAATGAGTTACTGTATGTCAGCTCAAGGAACTGGACTCAATGATCCTTGTGGGTCCCTTCCAACTCAGGAGATTTTATGATTCTATTCTATGACCTCCTCAAAGTCTCAGCACATCTGTCTGTTTTCCCCATTACCTGGCTTTTGAAAGGAGTAGCCAAGGACTAAGCGAGATAATTGCTTCATTTGGAGATGGGGAAAGAAATTCATGCCAGGTTTTCTAAGGACATAGATTAAAATGGTTTATTGAAAATCACCAGAGCTGTCTGCACCATATCAGCAGAAAGCTTGGCTCTGGTTTGTTTTTTTGTTTTTTTGTTTTTTTTCCCTACTCTCATTGCCGTTGCCCTGTGAAAGGAGAGCCAGCCCTTCCCTGGTGCTGCTCTCCTGACTCTCAGAGGGATGAGGGACGTGTGGTCTGAGCATGGCCCACATCACTCCAGCTGCTGTCTGTCCAGAGGAGGGAAGCTGGTGCAGCCTTCGTCTCCCTCCTCACAACAGCCATGCCCACACTGCCCACAGCAAGTGCTGGACAGTGCTGTGTCTGCAGGGCCCAGCTGGGTGTCTGAGAGGAGCCAGTCCCCAGCTGGTCCCAGGGCACTGCACTGTGAACTCGGGGCTCCTCGGAGGAGAACTGAGCTCTGCCTCCTCACAGCCCGAACCTGGGGACCAGCACTGCTCTCCTGGGAGGAACAGCAGCAGGTAAGAACAGTGCTTTCCATGATCTGAGCTGCAGTGAGGTGGGGAACTGTGCTGAGGAGATGGGGGCTTGCACCTGCACACCCAGAGAGGGCAGGGGCACCTCCATGGAACGTCCACACTGGTACTGGGGGTCTCCTGGTAGCAGCACCTGCCCCCAAGGCAGAGCCTCACAGAACGAGTGATTGGGCATTGGAACAGCCTGACCAGAGAGGTGGTGGGGTCACCATCCCTGAAAGTGTTTAAGAAAAGACTGCCTGTGCCACTTAGTGCCATGATCTGGGTGACAAGGTGGTGTCAGGTCATAGGTTGAGGTCAATGATCTCAGAGGTCTTTTCCAAGCTAGTCAATTCTGTGATTGTGTGATCCTGTGATTCTGTGGTTCTGGCATCTGGGATTCTATGGTTCTGTGGTTCTGTGGCTCTGTGGTCCTGTGATTCTGTGATTCTGTGGTTCTGTGATCCTGTGGCTCTGTGGCTCTGTGGTTCTGTGGCTCTGTGGTTCTGTGATCCCGTGGTTCTGTGATCCTGTGGTTGTGTGGTTCTGTGATCCTGTGACTGGCAGCCTTGGTGAACATGTCTCATCCACCTCACAGCGTTATCACTGGGGCTCTTTGTCAGTGGAGTCATGCTATGATAGTCATTATGGTTTTAAATGACTCATTTTCCACTTAACTGTATTATTGTGGCTTACAGAGCATCTGGAGCTTTGCAGCAGTAAATACATCACCGACTACTACAGCAATGTACTAATCTGTGGCTCTGAAGAATCTCTAACAAAATACAGCCGGGGCAGGCAGGTGTTGGTGCCTGTGTGGGCCAGCCCTGCTCTCTGGGGCACCTGTCCCACACTGGACCAAAATACGGCTGACACTGATGTGCTTGAAGGAACTGGTGGAGCATCTTTAGTGCAATTTGATACCGCCCGAATCTAGCATTTTTGTAGAATAAAATGAGAGATTCTTGTCAGATGTACATGACAGACCCTGCACTGCTGCTGAGGCAGCCAGGCCTGTGAGGTGCTGGTGTACCAGGTGCTGGAACACCGAGGGTCTGCGCTGAGCAGTCTGTCCTGGATGATCGGCATAGTCCCCTGCTAATATAAGTAAGGACTTTTTAGATGATATTATATTATTTTGTGTTTTTTCTCCTCGGTTCCCGCCGGCACGGCCAGCGATGGAGCTGCAGAGGGCGGTGTGGGAGAAGGAAAGGCCGCCCAAGATGGCGGCGCGGCGGCGCGCTGAGGCACTAGAGGGGGACAGCGGGCTGGGAAAGCGGCTGTGGGGCCGGGCGGGCGGGTTCGGCTCTCGGGTGGATCCTGCCTGCCCTGCCGGGAGCTCTCCTGCCCTGCCGGGAGCTCTCCACAGCTCTCGGCATCTCCCTGTGTCAGAGCCGCGCAGTGCTCGGGTGGGAGTCAGGCTGACATTCATTTTGAGAAAGGCATCTTGAGAAGCAGCTTGAGAAACGCAGCAAGTTGAAGCACAGGCTGGAAAAAAGCACACCGCCTGTAAGTTCATGTGTCGCCTGAGGTGATGGGAAAATGAAGTGGGAAAGGAGCAGGTGCGACAGGCTTGGGTTTACATGTGTTCGTTTATTTGCCATAAAATGAGTCATCAAACGCGGTTCTTTCACTGACAGCACCTCTGAACGATGGCCCCGGGCTTTGGTCCCCATGCCCTCAGCCCTCAGAAGGACGAACTGGAGACAGCAGCAGAACAACAAGCAAAGGTCACTATGGTGTGCTGCAGGTTCACATAAATCTGGTTAAAAGTAAGAATTAAAGAAAGGAAAAAGGCTTGTTTAGGGAAGAGAAGGAAACCCTCTACAAATCCTCTCCTTTTGAAATTTTTGTCACCCACATTCACCTTGTTGCCTTTTCCTCAATAACCTGTGTAATTTCACACTTTTGACTTTAAAAGAAAGCAACATGCTGGGGTATAAGGGAAATATTTGATATTTGGTGGTTTATTTATTCATGTAAGTTGTATTTTGTAAGGTTTGAGTTGAAAAACTTTGGATTTTTTTCCCTAAACACCATCCTAACGCATTTGGACAATAGTTCTGGAGTGACTCTTGGGGATGGTGCAGGGCAGGGCAAGAGTTGGGCTCTGATCCCTGTGGGTCCCTTCCAGCTCAGCAGATTCTGAGTGCATATTAAAGCCTTGATGTTTGTAACAAAAGAATTATATTTGAAGCCACAGAGTAACTGGTTTTTGACTCTTTGCTGTAGGAGCTGGACTGGGTGATCCTGATGAACCCCTTCCAATCACTGCATCCTGTAATTCTGTGACATGGACTGAGGCAGCCTGTGGGGCAGGATGGACAGCAGGACAGCAGGGACAGGCAATGCTCACTCATTTCTGACCCCCACCAACCTAGGGTAGAAGAACCAGGACCTCCAGTGTTTTTAAACAGGAAATTGTGTGTGCCCCATTGCTGTGTACATTTACTGTGATGGTGGAACTTGTGAGCTCTGGGATCACAGGGATACAGCCAGACTGTGTGGAATTAGACATAAATTTGTTCTCACACCAGTTGTGAGCAGGTAAATTGTATATTATTCTCTAGTGTGTTTATTCAGATGATTGCATGTTTTAAAATTTGATTTCAAAGCAAAGGACCAGTTTGAGATCTGTTTCTGTCTTAAGAGGAATATTGAGAATCTGTAATTTTGGTTTTTTCCTTTTGATGAGACTCTCCCCCCTTTGCCTCTTGTAAAGAACTTTTAACATCTATTATTAGAAATTCTATATGAGAGGTTTCATCATGGTCTTTTTGGTTGTTTCTTTTTTTTCCCCCAGTTACAATTTCAAATGCTCATCAGCAATGTAGTAAGGCTATTCTGGAGATTACTTAGTTTTATCTTGAATTTGGAGGGATTACAATCAAAGTGGACCTCGGATTTTAAGAATTATCCTGTAATGAATGCAAGAACTCTGTATCACTGCTAATTCTAAACTCTGTCAGCTTGTTCCCTGCCTCTGCAGCTTTGGCTTAGCAAACTTTGCTCTGAATAGTCCCATGACTACTTGATGAAACAGAGAACAGTCTATTTCAAGTAAATTTCACATAGAGTAGGTGGATCTCTGCCTAATTGATCATTTACATGAATTTCTACAAAATTCTGACATCTGGACTAGTGTGAGATCAAATTGGGCTTTGTTTTTGTGCATGTCCCTTTGACAACCTTCTCCCCAAATGTACAGGACTGAATTTCCCTGTCACTGAAGGGCTAAACCAGGAATGCCCTTGACTTTTCCTTTTAATATATCATGCACACAAATGCCTGCAACATTCTGGTGTGTGAGCTCAGCACTTTGCCAAACCTGAGAATCCAACAGAAAAAGAAGAAGACAGCTCTGCAGCACCATGCTTGGTGATTCATGCTTTTGATTTTCATTTTAAATGTATCCCATCAGGCAAACTTCACACTTAACTCATCAAGATAGCAAAAGGCCCTCACAAATATGTATTGGTGGGGACAAAGTGTGATGATGAAGTTTAAAATTGTAGGGTTTTCTTTTATCTAGAATACTGGGTTGGAGTTTTGGTTCCACAGAGGAAGATTGGTTTGCTGTTATCTGGTCTTTTTGGCATGTGGCTGTCTTCAGGAAGCTCAGGTGGATTCTTTGGATGTCTTTTCTATTGGCAAAGCAAAGCCACCCAAAAGATGCTTTTGGATGAGCTAGCACCTGTGTAGTATCTGATGTGTAAAAAACCAGTGCCATAACTTTAGGCCAGGGAAGGATTTTGTGTGGGGATTTTATGCTTTGGAGGAAGGGACCCAGGTTCCCTAAGTTGGACATGAACAGAAGATCTAAAAAGGAAATTAATGGGAACTCAGTTGTAAAATTAAAAAAAGTTTTTAGTGTGAATTTTTGAACCTGCAAATGTTTCAAAGACAGAGGCTGATGATTATGTGTGAATCTTTTTTTTCCTGTAGGTAGCTGAAAACCTGTTGAAGGTAATAATAAACTTTCTCACTGGTGAACATCAGAGAAATCCCAGGAGTTCCTGAATTTGTCACAGGTATGGAAAAGTTTATTAGATATGTTTTGGGAAAAGTTAGGGCAAAATCATTTATTTTGATTGATTCAGTAAAGCTGAACAGGCTGTCTGCCAAGGGCACCATTGTGGGGTTGTGATGCCCAAATTTGCCTTTGCAGGTCAGAAGAGACTCTCAGATTTACATAGTCCTTCCAGTATCAAGATGTGCCCAATTATCCAGATTTCCTTGTGTGTATTATCCATTGAATCTCCATCCTATAGATCTATGAAAACAGTAAACAGGAAACGTCACTTCTGGCTGGAGAATGATACTCTCCTGATAACTTTTAAAGACAAAACAGGAAATGTAATTTTGAAATGTTTACCCACAGTGAGGTAATAGTTTCTAATGCACAGCCACAGCCTGAGGTTGTTTGCCAGCAGGACAAGCAGAGCTGGGACCATACAGCTTCAGGAAGCAGAGTTCAAGCTCTCTGTGGAGTTTCCCTGAGTGTATTCCAGAGCAAGCCAAGCCTCCCTGGACTGCTAAGTCAAGAACTGGGTCTTTGCAGACTTTCAGGTTCCCAAAATGCTGACATCTATCAGACCAGAGGATCCCAGAGAAGTTTCTACTGAGAGTATTTTCCTTTGAATTATGACCAAAGGCTCCCTTCTCATGTTTTCCCTGAAGGGTGCACAGACCTTGAATTTGAAAGTTCTGCCAGCTTCAGTAGACACAACTTTCCTAAGGCTGGTGCTGCAGAGTTAAACCAAAAGCCCTTCAGGTGATTTATGTGTCTGCTCTGCCTGTGATGTTGTGAAATCCCTGCAGCCTGAGGGTCTATGGGGAACTGGCCCCTGTTGTTGGGAGAGAGTATATTCCAGGAAGCATTTTCATTTTGATTCATTGCCTTTTTCCAGTGTTTTCCTGGAAAATTTTCATCAGCTCTAACTCTGCCTTGCGTGCTTTGGTGGCAAACACCTCAGGGCCCAGCCTGGCACACAGAGTGTGTTTGTGTGGCACTCAGCCCTGCTTTGGGCCAAGCCTAAAGGCCACCACAGAGCTCCAGCTCCTGAGCTGTCCCTGTGTGCCTGAAGGGTTGTCCTCCAGCACAGGTAGCACATCATAGGTGGCTCAAAGGGTTTGGTGCTGTGCTTAGGAGCTCACAGAGCTGCCAGAATGGGAGTGAGGGGGAATTGCTGCCTCACCCCAAAGCAGCGGCTGCAGGTTGTGCCATGGTGACCTCAGCTGTCCCTGTGGAGCTGTTGCATTGTTCACATTTGCTTTGCTTTGGGTCTGAGTCAGCTGTGCCAGGTTCTGTGATGCAGGAAGAGGTGGCCCAGGTATGGAGCAGCCAAAACTGTGCAAAAACAAGGTTGTGTTACAGCTGTGTTGTAACAGGATGGGCTCTGGTGCCAGAGTTTTTTTCATGAGCACTTGAAATAAGCACTTTAGGGTAGGATTTGATGGTTTTAAAGAACATTTTTATTATTCTATGGCAGTTGTGAAACACTGCCATGGTTTCACAGCTTCTATGCCAAATAACTTTTTCAGGGGTTTAAGGGTTGTGGTTTTTTCAGGCAGTAAAGAAGAACTTTAGGGTAGGATTTGATGGATGATAAAACCAATAGCTTTCAGATGAGCTTCTCCCACAGGTGGAAGGTGGTGGTAGAGGAGGAAATGTGCAGGTGTTTGCTCTTAGGCTTCTGAGCACCAAGCCTGAACTGGCTTGGAGAGAGGGGGGCTGAGAAGTTTGTTCTGTTCCTTCTCTTCTTCCAGCTGTCCTAAACCAGACCAGGATACTGAATTTAGTATTTCACTGGATCTAGAGAGTAGTTGAAGGCTTGCTGGTACACACTGAGGCCAGAGCTTTGTCCATCTTGTGGAGAGTGTTTTTATTCCCCAGAGTCTGGTAAGTCATGGGCTTTGCTGATACCTTGTATGTGTTGAGCTGATTGTTTAATGGTCAAAGTGGCCTGTTTGTTTAGTATCTCTGTATTTCACAGAATAAAGTGTTGTTTGGTTGTTTGGTTTGGGATTTTGTCATGTCTCTAAGAGCAGTTTATAAACAGGGAACCCAAACAGAGAAACATGAAGGTCCAGACTCTATGGAGCTGCTAGAGGAGGGGATGAGCTCTCACCTGTGGTTCCCCAGGTCCATCCTTGCCACCAGCCTGGCTGACACCACTGCAGGGCTGGCATTTTAGGTACCCAGGTGATTCAGGAATTAGGAAGTAGAGCAGGGATGCAGAGTGACATGTCCAGCCCCAGAGCTGGTCACTTCAAACCATGAATGATTTTAGGGTTTGAGGAATTCATTCTAACACTGCAGGTGCTTAGGCTGCTCTTTGCAGCAACAAAGACTTATCCCTCCTGGGTTGCACTGGAGCATTTTTGCCTGCCCTAAATTCACTTAAAATTAACCTAATCACTGCATTTTTTAGTGTTTCTGTGCAAGTGCCACGTTGCTGTCTCAGCAGTAGTGGTGAGGAGTTGAAAGGAGTTAATCGTGCTTTGTAGCTTAATGCCTTATGGTTTATTATTGAGAATAAAGACAAGCGCTCCACTATTTTATCTCTAATGTGCAGTTAACTTAATTCCTAATCCTCTGAAGAGATGGTCTTCTTCCCAACATTTTGGCTTCTGCCTTGCTTTCAAGCTGCATGTGAAACTTCAATTCTGAAATGCTCAGTGCAGAGAGAATTTTAATACATGCATGCATAAATCAGTTTTCATGAGCTTCCCCTTAACCATTCAGGGAGAGTTTTCCTTTCCCTCTGTGCTTACCTGGAATTATTGCTTAGCAGACTGCTCTGCTGTTCCTTGTGTGTGCTGTGCACACATGGCCGTGGGCTGATGGGATGTGAGCTCAGTTCTTCCCTTGCAGTGTTGGGAACTGCCCAAAATTCCTGTTTCTCCTCACTGTGAGTCCTCCTTACCATGGCTGCCACCTCCTCCCCGTTATTTCCACAGCTCCCTGCCCAATCTGACTGCTGCAGTATTCACTGAGGGCAGGGGGGCTGTGCTAGGAGTTAATAAGCTTTGCAAGTAGCTACAGTGTTACAGGGATGGTTTTATTCCTTGTCAGTGTATTACAGTGCAAAGGTATTTAGCAAACAGTTTAACAAACAGAATTTTGGCATTGTCACTTGTGGAGAAACTTGTCCCAGTTCAGTCTCTGGGATAAATGCTCCAAAAATTCCAAGATGACATCTGTGCTCAGGTTCAGTTTTCAAACTTACACAGCCACCAAAGCCCATTGTTTTAGAGAATTGTTTTCATTGCTCCTCTCTCTTGGGTGCATTTAATTTTAGCCTCTTGCAATCTTTCTGTTCCACCAGCACATTGATCTTGCTCCACTCAGCTAATTGGATTAACTCATTTGCTACATTTATTGTACAGTATTGATTTGATAATACCAATCTTCCATCTCAATGTAATCTCATATTTTCTCTGGCCTCATAGCAACTCTGCTAAATGCCCCTCCTGCCCCACCTTTGCACTTGGACTTCATATAAAATCACAGCAGTGATTAAAAGCCCTGAGGCTAATCAGGCTTTTCCCTGCAGGCCTGGTGTGCTTTGCTAAGCACTGAAGGCTGAGGTGAAGGTGTTGGATGATGTTCCCAAATCTCTCAATATCTGCTCCATGCTGACACAAGTGACCTCCCAAAACCTTTGTGTTTCTGCAAGTACTGAGTCACTTGTGTGCTTGGCTGTGGTAGCTTTGGGGGAGCCTAAATACCTCAAATATTTGCTTGCCTGTGCTCACTCCTCAAATGTTCAAACTTCTGGCAAGAGCTCAACACTCAGGTTCCCTGGTGACCCGTGAAAATCTCCAGGTGTCTAAAGCATATAAGTCTTGAGCTTTCATAAAGTCCAGAAATGCTTGAAGTGAGGCAAGGTTTGAATCACTGAAATTATCAGCAGCTTTTCAGGAATTGTGGCAAGACAGAATCTGTGTAGATCCTGTTTGTAAAGAAAGGGGTTTGCTGTTTGACAGTAAGGTGAGCAAGTTCAAGTACTTATGGATTCTGCAGAGTTTGAAGCTTTGTGTGCATCAGCTTTATTTTGATTCCTGAAAAAGCATGTTTGTTATGTCAACTGCATTCCCTAAAAGCCTGGAATTGTGCCCTGGGCTGGTCAGTGGATTTTCAAATGAGCTGAGACTTTCTCCAGCCTAACCTGGCTTTGCTTGTCTTGGGTGGCCTCTTCTTGTGGGGGGCTCCAGCCACCTGCCCCAGGTGAGGTGAGGCTGGGGGACCACCAAGGCTGATCTTTGGGGTCCTGGCAGTTCTGTTTGCTCCAAAACAGGATTCCAGCAATGACTTCTTTGGGCACAGGGGAGATGGGAAGGCACAGTGTTCTGCTGCCCCTTTTGCTATTGATTCTCAGGGCTTGTTCCCACTCAGACTGGCTGTGCAGTCCAGAGCAGAGGCTGATGCTCACACACAGGGGCTGCAGCCTCATTGTCTGTCTGTTGGAGAATTTTACTCAGACATGGCTTGAAGGAAAAAAGGCCATGAAAATATACAGCTGATGGAAAAGTAAAAGGCAGCTGTAAGCAGCAGTTCCCAAGCCGGTTTCCCAGGCACGTTTCTGTAAACAGCAGAGTTCTCAGGCAGCTTTCTCATAACAGGTAAACATTCTGTCTTTGGCTGTTTTGGGAAAGTAAAAGTAAGTTTTGAGAACCATTCATATCAGGGTGAGAACACAAATCTTGGTTTCAATAACAAACCACAGGTATTGAAAGCAAAAGGAGGGGTTAATGTGAAATCTGTGACCAATGATGAGCTCGGGTTTTGCAATATGTATGAGCTTAATTAACAGGGTCATGAAATGCGCCTGGTTGATCAATAAATTGGAGTTCGATGCTGATCAATTAAGATGGGTCGTCTCCCTTCACTTCAATATCTGTCTCACTTTGCAATTGTCACAGGGTTTTAAAGAACATTTTCATTATTCTGTGGCAGTTGTGAAACACTGCCATGGTTTGACAGCTTCTATGCCAAATCACTGCTCATCACACAGACGAATTTCTC